TTTTTTTAGTTATACAGTTTTTGGAAATTTCACATTATTTCATAAAAAAAACAAACAAAAAGCTGATAAATGATCATTCATTATTTAATAATTATAGAAATTTATCACGCGTATTTTTGCCGTCTTGTTTCATATACTTTCAGATTGCGCCATTTGGGAGCGTCACGTTTACACATATTCCTGATCGAAAATTTCCACAAAGCTACTCACCTGAAAAATGGATGACGGAGTTCCACACGTGATTACTTTGGCAAAGCCACACGGAATTTTATGTAGTTTAACATATGGCTTTATAAAAAAGGTTTTGATTGGTGACGCCATATGTAATGATGTATGAAAAAACACACGGAATTACAAATTTGAAAACAAGCAAAAAGTTTTTCATGTACTAAAAAATACTCTAATCTACCATACTTTCAAGATTCAAGTATTTTTGTTATTATTTGCATGAACAGGGTAATGTCCTTTAAGACATTGCTTAGTGAATTTTCTTTTTGTACATAACTACATTACCGATACCTTTACTAAAGTAAATAAGTAAAGCAGAATACGAACCTAATGAGTGATTTTTCAAGAAATTTTAATCATTGTGATGTTTAAATCTGTGAAAATTATCATAACATGGATTAAAACTTTGCACGATGACTCCTTGAGTAGTTTTGTATCATCCCTGTAAGTTTTATCGATAGAAATATTTTTTATTATAGTTTTGAATGCTGAATTGGCATCCATCTTATCAGAGCCCAGGTTAAATACCATTTTTTGTTATGTTATTTCTCAATACTTGATTTCATAACACATGCTAAAAAAATATAAGTGGACTAGCAAAAAAATGCATAAGTATACCGTGCTTTGAATATTAATGAAGTCAATGAGGATTTAAAAGGTTTTTAATGTAAATATTTTTTAAAATAATCAAAGCTCCATCCGTTTGTTACATAATTAATCATTTAATTTTTTTAATTGATAGCTGTTTTCTTTAAATTTCTGAAAAGTTCTGACAATTCTGTGAAAAATTATTCTGTAAACTGTACCTATATTGGTACACGTATAATTACGTGTTACAATACAAGAGTATAAAAGTTTTTGGTCTCTTATTGATTGTATAAGCAGTAAATGTAGAAGCAATTGTTCAAGTACATGACAAATNAAATGCAGATGTATATCGTGCTTTAAAAATTACAAGAGCCAATGAGGAAAATTGAAATGTTTTCGAAGTGAATATTTTTTTAAATGTTCTATCCACCTATTACATCATAAGTCATTTAATTAATGTAACCGATAGCTGTTTTCTTTAAATTTCTGAAAAGTTCTGACAATTCTGTGAAAAATTATTCTGTAAACTGTACCTATATTGGTACACTCAATTACTATATATATACATATGTTGACAATCTAGGATGTCTTGGTAGGGCCGAGCTATTCCCCCGTAAGATCACGCTATCGTTTAACGCAATGCATTCGCCACCCGAGGACCAATGTATGCTAGCTAGGGTGCTTACGTAAAAAATTTCCGATCGGAGTGTTTGGATATTTTCTGGCTTGTACGTAAGCTTCAAAATTCGTACTTTACCTGTATTATTTTTGAGTTTCTTGTCTAATTTTACTTTTAAGTTTTCGTGCCGTTCGATGATGCTGAGAAAAAAAAAGATAGAGAGCGCGAACGCGCCTGCTACCGTATATTATATGTATACTACATATGCTGCCAAGAGGGCATGTGGAGGATGGGAGACGGACGGGAACGAACGGGGCCAGAAAAAGTGTGATGCTTTCTTTTATTTTTGTCAAGTGATGGCCCTCCATAAATAAGAAGCTATGCTTCAAAAATTTTTGGTTTTCAACAGGTTAAAAATCAAGTTTACTTGTACATTCCTAAATTAGTTTTTTACTGATAAGAATTTATTATTTCTTATTAAATGTTCACATTCTAGACAAGGTCAAATATGTAGGTAAGAGACAAATAGATATCTTGAATAAAATTGTTTGATGAATATTTAGACTGAGATCTGACCACACATTTTCTGGAGGATAACCGTTTCAGTTGTGACTTGAGGACAGATGTAAAAAAATCACGAGAATTCTAAAACTCTCTAACGCTTATATGCAAATCCGGGGTGTTTTTGCATTAAATACGTATCAATAAACAATTTACTAATATATAACGAGTTTCATACATTTTTACTGCCTCGTTGTTCACGTTGGTAAATTGTTATTAATACGTGTTTATTGCAAAAACGCCCCAGATTTGCATATAAGTGTAATAGAGTTTTATAATCCTCGTGATTTTTTACATCTGTCCTTAAAATCACAACCAAAACGGTTATCCTCCGGAAATTCCTATTTTATGGGAAAAATTTTTATTGCGTAGATCGAAGTGTCAGAAATTATAACAAATAAAGTTTATAAGTGGATATTGAGTGCTAAGGTTCCAAAAAAATAGCAAAAACGGTAAAAATCATTTTATTGCTTCTAGAAGAAGAATTTCAGCTGAGATAAGAGAAAGGTACACGTAAATAATGTACCCAATAAATAAACAAAGAAAATAAGCACCGTTAGAGAAAAATCAGCTTAGAGGATCGTTAGCAATTCGTAAAAACCGCGTTTTTTGTAAATATTGTACATTTAATAACTCGCACTTCGGAAGTAATGAAGAGTTGCACTTTGAATATGAAGTATGTTTTGTAGTCCCATAACTGAAGATGAAAACGTTGTAAACTTTTTGAAAACTGTTGACTTTTGCAATAAGTGACTCTTTTTTCAATCAACTGGGATTTTAATTTTCAAAAAACATTATAATTTCGATTCCTACGCATTAAGGATGAGTTAAACGGCAAATTTTTTAATTTACAGATAATTTGTCAAAGAATTAAATTGTTTAAACAATGTATAAATTTCAGGTTCTTTTCGCGGGCATGACTGTGGAGCGAGTAGAGTAGACACCCTCCGTAGCCCAGTCAACCAAGCTCTGAAAACTTTTTTGTAAAATTATGTTGACAAAGTTGTCATTGTCAAAACGGTCTTAAAATTTTTTTTTCACTCATATCTTGCAAATGGTAAGAAATTTGAAAAAAAGAAAAAAAAAAAAAAAAAAAAAAACGAGATACAACTATGTAAGGTAAAAAACAATAAATTTTAAATATTTATTGTCCCTCCTCACGTGCAAGATTTTGAGGGAAAAATTTGTAAAAGTTCCTTGTTACTCGTTTGTGCTGCTAAACATTTCGATTTCAGAGCATGGTTGACTGGGCAACGGTGACTACCCTCTCTACTTGAACTTCCACCACGCGCGCAAAAAGTACCTGAACTTTATATTATTATAGATTATTTCAACAAAGTTATTCTTTGTCAAATGATCTATAAATTTGGAAATTTGTAGTTTAACTCCTTCTTAATGCATAGGAACCAAAATTGTAACGCTTTTCGAAAATTAAAGTACCTTCTCCAGTTATTTAAAAAAGATTCCTTTTTGCAAAAGTTGACTGTTCGCAAAAAGCTTACGTCATCTTTATCTTAAATTAGCTAATTTTTTACACCTTTTAATAATCAAAAATAATGGTCGAATTTTATTTAATACTTACCGTAAACTTTTGTACAAAGATATCGTCATTCATCATAAATCGTTACATCCATCTTCACATAAAATGGTGACATTTTACAGTTTTAAAATACTACTAAACAATAAGCATTCGATAATAGTTATAATCCAATTATTATAGATAACATACTTAATAACGTTAGACTGAAAAAAGCTGTAGAAAATGTCTTCCCCTTGTCTATGAAGGATGATCATCGTCGGTACCACATATTAACTTATACTGGTCCACATACTTATAAAATTGTTGAATTTGTTAAACGATTTCATAATAATTTAGCATTTAATACAAAGAAAAATTTTCAAAAAATAATAAAAATAATAAAGACTAAATCTATGACGAAAAGTAAGTATGCATTAACAAGGGATATTGTGGCACACCAGGTTGTGATAAATTGTAATTTGGCCAAACGGGTAGAACGTTTGAAAGATGAGACAAGGAACATAAAAGTGCGTCTAACAATAAGACTAACAAATCATGGTATTCTTGTCATTTAATAGAATGTAACCATATTTTTAATGATCACTATAATATCTCATACAATTGTAGTAAAAGTAAAAAACTAGATATTTTAGAAGCAATGGAAATCAATAAATTCAAAAATTCAGGCAGCCTATTAAACTGCCAGTTACATCTTAATAGTACACCTTTACTAAATAAAAATTTTAATGTTATCACTGTGTTAATATTACGACATATATTTATATTGTTTTATTATGTATTGACTTAGAATTTAGTGCGTATGTTATGTAACAACGCAACATTATTTAGTTAAGTTGAAATTTGATAGCCATCTGAAGAATGTACTGTGTACCGAAACAGCTGTTATGACAATATTTGAGTTTTAATAGGGAGTGAAAATCATAAAAACAGTGTGTTTTAGTTGTTATATACATGAATCTTTATCAATTATCAACCAGTACTATTGATTATAAAAATCTTTTCTTTCGTAAAAAGTAAAACCATACATAAAAAAATATTTTATTCCACTTTATATTTCCTTACTTGATTTCATAACACATGCTAAAAAAATATAAGTGGACTTTCTAACAAAAAATAATATATATAAACAAAACAAAATAACTGAGTTAAAAAGTACATTTTGAGGTTAGTATAATTACGTGTTACAATACAAGAGTATAAAAGTTTTTGGTCTCTTATTGATTGTATAAGCAGTAAATGTAGAANTATATTTCCTTAAAAATAATTTTTAGACACATATGTTTGTTGAAAAACGGAACTTCATTTTCTGTTTGAATTAAATCTCAGTGCTAGTTGCAGGAGCCCTCTTAAACTACAAACATTTTTATTCTAAAGCACAACATTCTTGTGAAAAAAAAATTATTAAAATTTATGAAGCATTGTTACTTGACTATAAAGAAATAATAACAAAATTTTAAATTTTAGTAAGCGATTTAAAAATGGAACTAAAGCGACGCAGCTTGCCAGTTTCGGGTGCAAAGCCGCAATTAATCGAGCGATTGAAGCCGTTTATGGAGTCACTGAATTGTAATATAATGACAGACTTGAACGTTACTAACGTTGGCCATCAAATACTCGATGGTCCTATACTCATATCTAAGAATGAGTCCAACTCTGATAAGAATCCTACCTTGCTGAAAAACCAATCGATGAACAAACCAAGGATAAGTTCACCCTGCAACAATGACCAAGACAAATTATCGAATCTATCTGGTAAGGCTACAAACTATTAAATGCTTAGCATTTACTATACAAGTACGACAACTCCTCTAAATAAAATTCTTTTCTCAATACAGTTTTTAATATTCTAAACTTTTTACTACACTTATAAACTATATTTCATGTAAAAATCAAATTATTGCAATCATAATTTTGATGTTATGATTTAATCTGCTATTTTAAAGTACGCCATATCTTACATACAATTATGTTTATACAATGTTTATAATACGTCCCTGTTTATATTTATTATTATAATGGTAAAATGTGTAATTACTAATTCAAATTGTTAAGCTTTTAGAGGTATTTTCATAATAACTTGTATTTTGGCTCGTAAGAAAAGTGTAATATTTATTTATTACGATTTTTGGGTATATGCATGATATTGTCTTAAGTATTACAGCATACACTATAATCATTTTTTTGTGCTCTGCTGCTTTTAAGAAAAAATGTGTCTCTAATTATGTAAAAAACCATATACGATACATCTAAGACTTTCGTTGAAGGTCCATTACATTTTAGACGGTATCACTGATAAAAACAACAGCTGAATTAAGACATTATTGCCTAAGACAGGTTTTATTATAATTTCACTAAAATTTACTAGGATCTAAGACTTAGCACAAATATTAATGTTAAATATGTTTCTGAAGTTATTATTCTATAGGTGCGTTCTGCTTTATGAAGTAAATCAACGATTTCAGATTGGTGACCTTGAAAAAAAGTGTAACGGAAGTGAATTTTGCTAAATTCTCCCCCTTCATCTTGCCACTTTTGACGTAATTCCGGTTTCCCTACATCACCCAACATGTAACATCATCATCGCACCACACTACACAACATCATTGCACCGCACCACACCACATATTTTGAATTTCACTTTTTTTTTCTTTTAACTAATTTCTAAAAAAATAAATAAATAAAAACTGTTTTCAAAGAGATTCGAACACCTGTGCTCTGGCACACTAGGCAAGCTCTTTACCCATTTTGCTATGAGCGAGCCCGACGTAAAAAAACTGATTATTTCATTTTATCTTTCAGTTTGTAACTTATTTTCAATGTAAATTTTTATTTATAGTGGATTCATTTATTTGGTTTCATTTTACATTAAATAAACAAGTTGTTTAATGAAATACATTTTTTTGGTATTTTTTTTTTTCAAAAGTTTGTAACATTCATTTATTAATCAATAATTAGTTACTTTTAGAATAAACAAATTGTTGTTTATACAAATTTTTCACAATTTTTTCAGAAATTTAATTAATGAACAAAAAAAAAAAAATTTTCGTACTGTATAAATACAATAATTGATTTTTATTGCGTCTTCTTCTTTAACAATTTTTCCTTTATAATTAAAAACAAAATTCAGAGAGGTAGGAGGAGCGAAAATATATGTTGCAACACTGGAAATTATCTTTCTCATAAGGATAAATTTACATAATTGCAGATTTTTAAATTAAACATGTAAAAAAGAGTACAGTTGAACGGCCTGCTATTTCATAAGGGTATTTCTTATTTTCTTAGGAAGTTGTTTCGAAACCATTGAAAGATTCGATAAAAGAGCACAGTTTTGCACTGACCAGCTGCCATATTATTTATATTGTATTGTGCAATCAAATATTGTTTATGTTATTTATTTATAATTGCTCTGTTATTATATATTAAAATATTTATTAAAACCACATCCGACTAACGTAGGTATACTCATTTCAACGATAATTGCACCACCTTTGTACATAACATAGTTTCATACGAGGTATACTTATATTTATATTATTCGCCATACAATTTTATAGAAGTATAACTTCTTACTTCTAACAATAAGACTAACAAATCATGGTATTCTTGTCATTTAATAGAATGTAACCATATTTTTAATGATCACTATAATTGATAGCTGTTTTCTTTAAATTTCTGAAAAGTTCTGACAATTCTGTGAAAAATTATTCTGTAAACTGTACCTATATTGGTACACTCAATTACTATAACTTTTTTGTATATCTTCTTGAAAAAAGTTTTTTTTATGATTCTAGACAGGAAATTATAACATTCTGTTCTTTGATAACAATTGAGTAATGTATACACCATTTTTTCATGTCCCTTGATAAGGCTATTTCAGCTTTGGAAGAAGAAAATAACGAAATGAAATTGGAGAAAAAATAATAATTTTATTTCTTAAATATTAATTAAGTTGTACTGTAGGGTGACGAGGCCAGTTTGAAAAAGTAGACAATGCCTCAGCGACCACGCTACTATAGACTTGAGTTTCAATTTTTGACTCTTTATTGAATTTAGCTTTTCAAACTTATTTGACATCTTTACCGAGAAATATGGGGCGAAAAGTCGTTAAAACAATGGAAATAATGATAAATAATATTTTGCAGTCTCATAGCTCGTAAAACGTCTTATTGTTTGAGTTCACTGAACGCCAAACTTTTTTTCTACATGATTGGGGTAAGGATGTTCTTAAAATTAGGCAGTGAAATCCGATCGGAAATCTATCTGGGATACCCTGCTAGTTAGGTAGGTCTCAGATGGGTTGCCGAGGTTGGACCTACCTATGTACATAGCTAAATTTCAATGGAACTCTAGCTAGGCGTTACCTAGGGCCAAGGTTGCTATCGTTTATTTAACTTTCTCTGCCATTTTAAAAACTGATACAAACGTAAGTGCGTATTTCAGAAGACCGTGTTATACATGTTCATCAATGCATATGTTTATGAAAACCCAACGTCTTACATGTAAAGAAAGTGTTGACAAAAAATTAATAAAAAGAATTATAAAATTCAAAATTTACTGACATTTCAAGACTTTACTAACAGATATTCGCAATTATGTTTCCTCTAAAATCGAAGATAGAGTTTTAACTGTTTTCAAATAATTGAAAAGCTGATGGTTCTGCGATGAAAAATGATTAAGTGCGCTCAAACAATAGTTAGTAGTTCTTTGATGCAATTTAGTACGTGAGAATACTCAATCATTAGTTGTATTTTAGACAAAACATTTAATGTCAATCGTAAATTTCAATGCTTACTTCCTGGACAGTTTGACTCAAATAAATAATTAAACGATTTAAGACAAAAGTACTCATAAACGGGTAATTCTTTTACAAACCGAATAGTATTCTAACTAACCCATTTTTTAATTGACTAAAACTTATATTATAAGTTCTATATTTAAAAAAAGAAACCTGATCCAAAAAGGTGGTTTTATTTTTTTCTTATTTTTTAAAAGAAAGGGCTTAAAATTTAAAATTTTGGTGATTTTTGCTTGAAGAGTCATGTTAAAAAATCTATAACTCTGGTTCATTTCAAACTAGGAAAATGTTTTCTTGTTTTTCAGGTTAAAGAGTGAGTTTTAAGAAAAAAGATTTATCCTAAAGAATGTATGTGTAATTTCATATTGTTATAAGCAACTTAAATGTTTGACAGTAAAACCACAACTTAGTGTGTTTAAAGAATAACCATCGTATTTTACGTCCGATTTCCCATCAAAAATGTTTGAATTATCAATAAAGAAACAATTATTACTGTAGTAAAAAAATTAAATACACTGGCGTGGTATCTGACGTCAGTACCTAACGTTACAAAGCTTACCTCATATTCTCGCCTTATACCGTTGCTCTCTCAATTATCTCACAAACAGTATGTGTCAAATGTTTTACATTCAACTTTAAATAATATTATTTATTAATAAAGTTTGATAAGAAATAAGGTAAAAATAAATAAACCAGTGGACAATGAGTGCTTAGGTACCTAAGTATGAAGTTATACATTCATGAAGTGATATGGCGAACTATATAATTATGAGTATAAAAATATCTCCTATAAAACAATATTGTGAACGAAGGTGGTGCAATTATTGTGGGAATAAGGCTATCTGCGTTGGTTGGGTATAGTTTCAATGAATATTTTAGTATTTAATACATGAAAAATTATAAACAATAGACTACGGCAGAATACAACATAAACAATGTGTAGGCTGGCCAGTACAAGACTGAGCGCTTTAATTGAATCTTCCAAAGATTTCAAAACAACTTTTTACTATCTATGCTGATTCCATCTCTAACATCACGATTACATCTGTCATATAGGCTCACACACTTATTTGTAGTCCATATTGAATACCCAAAATATAATTGTATTTAAAAAATTGAGAAAAACTATCCTGCAGTACCACTTTTTTAATAGGGTTATATTACACGCCAGTAAATGTCTCTCAAAGACGTTCATCACACATAGGTTTCTTGGACAGGTATTATTTACATCAAACGTGTATTCGAAATAGCATAAAAAAACGCCCAAAAAATCGCAGATTGCTTAAGTGTACCCTTTTTTATATGTTTAATTTTTAAAAAATCACAATTTAATATGTAACCTTCTTAAAAAATTACGTAAAATTGCATTTATCTGATCTGTAGAAATCTCCTAATTTTATTGGTATGAAAGATTACTTTTAGGTAAAACTATTAAGTTTTTTTAATAGATTTACAATTTGATTTTTTTAACAAGCTTAAAAAGAGGGGATCAAGTATGCGTAAAAGTATGTATGTAAGTACATTAACATGAGAAAAACAATTTCCAGCGTTGCTGCATATATTTGTGCTCTTCTTACCTCTCTGAACGTTTATCCTGATAACTATGTAAAGAATGCCCGTGAGTCAAAAAATTACCTTAATTACGAATGAAATATTTGTGAAAGAATAAAACGCAATAAAAATTAACTACTGTATTTATAAAGTACAAAACATTTTTTTTTTTTTTTTCTTAATGTGCAGGAGGTCGGACGTACAAATCTATTGAGAAAATTTTTTGTTTATTTTTTTTTATTAAAATGGATAAATGAATAAAAAATGAAATTCATAAAATTAAAAATATATGGTGTGGTATGGTATCGTAGCATTGTGTGGTGTTAAGAGAACCAAAAGTATGGCAAGAGGGTTGGTCAAACGGGGTGTAACATGCAAAATCCACTTCTGTCACACTTTTTTTCAA